ATATAATCATCCTCAGGTCTGCTTCAGACAGTTGGCACTAATCCCCCTCCTAGTCACAGTGGTATTTGTTAAACTGAGTCATGCAGTGAGGTGGTTTGGGTTGGGAAAATGCCACACCAGAGACAGAAGCTGAAATAAGACAACCTCCAGCCCGCAGGTAACGCATGACGCATAAAATTCTTCAGCTGTATATTAGGTCCTTAAACCCTGGAGCTCACATTGGCTCCATTCCTTTGTCTGTTATTCGAGTCTCCAGTGCTTGCAGAGCCATGTTTTGTATTATCAGTTTTTCCACAAGATTATTTTTTGGAGTCACAAAACTGGAGAAACTTTTACAGAGAGAGAGAGAAAAAACAAAAAATTCCTACGCTAATGAAAAAGCCTTTTCATAAATTCCCCAGGGGAACTTGACCTTGATTTCTTGAAAACACTCTTTAGTCATCAGGGGAGTCAAACTCCAGTCACTGAGAGGAGCCAGTGTAATGCAAGTCCCAGGTCCAACACACCTAAATCAAATGACTGAATTACATTCTCATGCACTCAAGTGCTGCAGTCATGCTAATGACCTAATGATGTGATTCAGGTGAAATGACAGAGAGACACACCTAAAACCTTTTGAGTGAACTTTAGGTAATGGTTCAGTTTGTTCAATTTTAAAGGCTGTGGGTTCAATTCTCACTTTTCCCTGTCACATGTGCCTCTAGGCAGCTACTTAACCCCACGTTGCCCACCAGTCTATGTGTTAGTGTGTGAATATCTGAGAGTGTGACTGTCTCAAAAAAGTGGTTCTAGTGTAGAGCAGCAAGTGCAGTAGGTGTGACTTGAACAACGCTATATATATAAAGTCAGTACATTTTCCATTTCCATCCATTTAAATGCAACAATTGAGATCTGGTCCATACATTTTGTATATCAGCCTGTCCTTGCATGATGCAAGAAGGATAAGTGCATTTAAAAAAAAAAAAAAGTAATTAAGTCGTTTGATATCCATTTGTCAAACATATAATGAAATAAAATTGCATTTCTCTTGTCCACTGGATCCTCATGAAGCACTGTCTCTCTTCAAATGTAGGAGAGCAGTAACCTGGGCATGTAGCAGCTGAAGAACTCCATGTAGTTTCATAGTTAGGAGTTATATTAGCTCACTGGTCTTCTACGGTGACCCACTGGTCGATAGCAGGTGATATTATGCACTATAGAAGCACACCACTGATTTGCACGGATTAGATAGCACGTCCGCCCACGAGTAGCAAAAATCTCCCAATACTTGAGACCTCTTCTAAAAACAAACTTAACAGGCATTAATATGCTCAGTGGAAACCGCTTTAGCGCTATCCTTTCCTTCCTTATCTCCACTCTTGGCCAATCAGTGCCAAGGAAAACGAATCGCATGTGAAGTAGCAATGTGTCTAGATATTTCAGCTTCCCAAGCTGTGGTATCTCTCGAAAATTTTAGAAAAAAATTGCATACAGAAAAAGATTCCAAGAACAACTTGGATTTACGTTCCACAGATAAATAAATCCACTAACAGGTGAGTCCGGGAATACTGAACCGTGAATGGATGGAAGTCCGTTGTACTTTCATTACTGCCCTGGATTTTATATCACACATTCCTCACAGCATCAGTGCTTTTTGCAGTAGGACCACAGCTTTTTGATCAGAAGGCCTCCCAAAACAGCTACCTGAATAACATGTTGCTAAGGAGATAGTCAAAAACCAAAGCACAGCAGCCTCTTTGTTCAAGCTGGATGTGTTCTGGTGGGTGTAAATAAACTGTCTTCCCAACCAGTGGAGAAACACTAGCAGAAGAAAGCAGTGGTGTGCTTCTTTCTTGAATGGGGGCACTCTAAACACTTTACTGCGGTTCAAATGGCATCCTTTCCAATCAACTCATATTCTCCACACTTTTGAAAAGCTTGCCATGCTTCTCCTCTGTGTGTTCTCATTTGGCCCGCAGTCAACCACCCAGCTCCTTCTCTTCCACAAGTCATTTTCTACCATTGCATCATCAACGGTAATCCTTATCTACATAAGAAAAGCCTCTGCAGTAGCCTATAGAACCAATTTTAAACATATTTTTAGGGCATATGTGGACAAAGCCATTCTAATCTGAGGCTTGACTCATAAAAAAATATCATTGTACAAAGACTGATGATATTTACGTCTGTTCTTTGCTCTTGATTGGCCTTATTTTTGGAATGCCTATGCCTCTCTATAAGCAAAAGAGCGATTCTAAAGAGTTTAGATGGGTCTCCAGCATTCTGCATTAACAGAGGAACAAGACATATTCGTTTAGATGTCGGAAATTCTTGGTTGAATTCAGCATGCTGCATAACTGTGGCTATGTCACAGACAGAGTGCAGCTGAGGTGACATTTTCACGTTGTACCATGTTACTACAAACTTCCTTGTCCACTTTTATGGGACAGACCAACATGTAAGTTGCACATGTGGTGATTGTGAGGTAGGAAAGAAATAAAACGGGACCTTTGAAAGTTTTTCCCAAAAGTTTCTACAAATGTTTGCTGTGGATTTGCATCCAGCCCCCTTCATTCTGACACCCCAAACGAAATCAAGTGCAACTAACAACCCTTCAGAAGTCGCCCCAGTTCGTAGAGTTCCCCTCTGTGTTAGGTGAAGTCTTTTAGAAAGACCTAAGGCTGCAGCTGATGGGCAATTAAATTGTGTTTAGCCATTTCCCAAGAATACAGAAGACGACAATGGGGCTGACAGGAAGAGCAGGGCCACACCTAAAGCAAGGTTATCGCCAAGACTTAGAGAACGAGAGAGAGAAAGTAGGAAGAAAAAGACTGCCTATTTAGTCACATCACAAGGGAGCTTGCAAGGAGGAATTAAGCTGCTGAGTGTAGGGAGCTGACAGACGTAGACAGAGAAGAATAAGCAGATGCAAGAGAGGGAGTAGAAGGAGAGAGAGGAGGCAGACTTCTACTGTAGATCTCCACGGTATGTTCTCAAAGTGCCGAGTGACACTTCCCATCACCGTGTCAAGGGAACTGGAGCGTGCCAGCTCTGGCTCTCTCTCACCCTATCTTGCATGCAGAGCAATTACCACAATCCCCCCCACCCCCTCCCCGCCACCTTCTTCCTTGCAATTCAGTGAAATGCGCCAGCAGACCTGTGACTCATCATTTGGAGTAATAGGCCTGTCCCACATCGGCCTCAGGCGCCTTCCGGCTCGTAGGAAGCTTGAGGAGCACAAGGAGATCACTAAACACAGCAAAGGGGTCTCGTTACGTAAGGCTGGCCATCATATATAACGCCTCCATGTACGTAGTAATAATAATAATAATAAAAAAAGAGGTGACTTTATGGTCACTTGACGTCAAAGTCGCCGCCGCTTGCCCGAGGGCAGCATGTGGTAGCGAAAGTACAGCTGGCGCCTGATGCCATTCAGTCTTCAAGAGGAAAAAACACCAAAGCGATGCATACAAAAAGGACCAACATCTGAAAAGCTGCTTTGTCAGTGTGAGCCACGTAAACCATTGTTCGAAGCAGCCTTGTGATGTGTGCTAAAAAGGGGGTCGCGGTTGGTTGCTGTGGCAACCTTTCCAAGAAGACAGGCCTCCCTTTTTGTTTTTTCTCTTTTTCTTTTTTGGGTATTTTACAGTAGCGAAGATCACCAGCATCATCTGAGGAGAATCAGTAAGCAGGGGGCGAGACCCTGGGACTGCGTGATCGATGCCTGAGCACAGACAGAGGGTGACCCGCTGAGTGCAGTGTGTCGGCCTGAGCGATTGAGCTCGTCTCTTAGGCAACAACTATAAGCCCTTGTTCCACTAATACCCCCCAACCCTGTGCTGTAGTTGTGTCACCACATGCAAGGGTGTAGGAATGAGTTCATCATTGGGGTGGGGGAGACACATATTGGAAACCTGACAGATCCGTAAATAGCTTGAGCAGAAATGTATTTAGCACATCTGGGGGTCTGCCGTCACTGTGACGAGGAGGGATTGATACAATGACTGAAACAATGTCAACATATTTAGAACATTAAAAATAATAAAATGAAAGCAAAAAACTAGACGAGTAATATCATCCACTAATGCCAATTCTGAGCTGCAGGATTAGCTAATAATTCCAAGAGTTTGTGGCAGCATAATGCTGTGATGCAGATTATATTTATCTGACCCGACAGATGGATGCAGCCGGGCTGCTGGCAGTATTTAAAAGAAAACACCATGACTACACGTTCTGCTAAAGGCCCTCGGTGTCTCAGAGGTCGGGTTCTGATCCGGACCGTTTTTCTCCCTCAGCATCTTGACGGTGATGGAAAAACATCCTTCCTTAGGAAGTTCCTCATCCTAAGGAAGAGGAACAGCAGCAGATTACCATACTGACCCGGTTCTGGAGCAGTTGAGCAGCCTGATGGGCTTACCCCAGTGCCATCTCCTCCTTTGTGACGGGGGCTGGGTTCCGGCTGGGCCTTCGTCACGCTCGAAACTAGAGGCAGAACCGTCTCGGGAAGCAGTTCCTGCAGTTACAACCACACACAGGCTCGGCTGGTTACCATGGCAACCAGAGCGAGAGGAAAGGAGGCTCGTTGGCTCGGTTGCCATGGTAACCTGAGGACGAGGAGGCGAGATGGTTCCGGGTCAGGGTCCACCTACATGCCCCGGTCCAGCAGCATTGTCACCAACTTCTCCTTGCTGATCATCTCAGCCGACAGGCTGGCCAGCTGCTTCTGTACATGGTGGACCTTCCTGCAGACAGAGGGACAACCGGGTCACTGGACCAGAACCAGGGGACCAGGACAAGAGCCAGACCGTACCTCAACCAGTCCTCGCTGTCTGAGAGGTAGAGCCTGTACTTCAAGGAGCACTCATGGGTGAAAAGAGACCAAGCTTCGCTAGCTTGGATTACCAACTTCTGCTAGTTGAAGGAACCGGGCCAGAACCAGTCAGAACCGGAACCAGCCACTCCACTGAGCTTCGATCATCAGATTAAAGCCAGGTTAAAAGAATATTTAATGCTCCATCAGATTTCTCATATTTTTGATCCTTAATTCACTCGATGCACTCTGGCTATTCTGTAGAGCCGGGCCGACCCGGGCTGGGTCAGAACAGAACCAGATAGCTGTATCCTGGTCATCCATGTTTCTTTACTTACTTATGAGACTCGTGTCTATTCTCCTCAAAGTTCAGCAGACCTGAAAACACAGAGGAGGTCAGGGGTCAGCTGGTGACCTCCACCATGTCCTGTCCTGCTGTGGAGGGAAGCCAGTCTTATGTCTTTCTGCTTGGTCCTTCTTGAATTGTTGGTAAATGGCAGTGATGGTGTCCAGCAGCACTCTCATTCTCTCCATGGTGCAGACAGAAACACAACGCCATCACTAAAAAAAACCCCCAACTAAAACAAACCCAACACACCCTCTGCAGCGTCCTTCCCAGTGATCGGCCTTACTTCCTGTCCTCAGGGTGCGTCCCGACCTGCTGTGTCCAGGTGACAGTCAGCAGGCCCTCAGACAGGAACTTGCTCTTGATTTCCTGCGTTGTCCTCTCTGTGACATCCAGAAAACCAGAGATCTGCAGAGATATTCCCCGACAGCCAACACGGAACCACCTGAGTGGACTGGCAGCTGCAGCCCGACCAATCACAACCCAGAGATTAAACCCTGCGAAGCAGAACTATGAAGGTAAAAACTATGTGTTCAAGTTAGAAGGAGTTTGCAGATATTTTTCAGTTTTCAACTAAAACAGTTCAGAAAAAGTAAAATACACAAACTGTATTCTTTGAGTTACTTTAAAACATTTTTTTTTATTTTTGCCACAATTGATCCAAAACAAATGGTGCAAACTGTCCATGCAATAAATGTCTTGTTTATAAATCACTGTGACAAAGTCTGTTCTACAACCACAAACTAATATTTGTGTCCCACTCAGTCCAGAACATTCAGAGCAAAACTAATTCACACACATTTTAATTTTTTTTTTTTCTTAAAGACACGATGCAATGCATCAAACTGCTGATGCTAAATGCTGTACATGCCACACCTGGTTTTTAGTTCACAAGCTGAATATTTAGTTTAATTAATACGCTAAATATTTAGTTATTAAGCTAAATATTTAGTTTGTAAGTCAGTGGGACCAAGTAGCTCCTGACTCATCCTTAGGACCTTTTTGTGCAGGTCCAACATGTGGGGGACCCATGCATACACGGAGAAACTGTGCCACCGCAGCCCTTGCTTTTTTAGAAAGAAGTGTAAAAGAACTAGTACTACTACTACTATTAAAACTAAGCAATATTCAACTAATAATAACTAACCAAAATGAGCAAATACACTCTAGTCTAGAAACTAATCAAAACTACCTGAACTGGACAAACAAAAAGTCACTACTAAATAAAGCTAAACTATAATGACAAACCCAGGACTAACTATGGAGGCCTAGATTTCCCTCACTGGCCCCCAACTGTCTGATAAATCTAAGATATCAGAGACCCATGTTGTAGTCTACTGTGGCTGCTTTTCTCTTCTGTCTTTATACTGGCGCAGATAAGATGCAGTGATGGCTTTTTTAAAACGCCTCCACAGTGAAATCTTTTCTACCGAGTTATTCTCTTCGTCAGAGACATTGTCCTGCTCATCCAGGACAACAACTCCTTGTGTTTCTGATTCCTGAGGGGAGACCGTTTTTATTTCATCTACGTCTCCAGAAAGTTGTACATTGTTAACAATATGCGAGGCTCAGAGAGATTTTCCATTTGCGACTTCCTACTTATAGATTCTTCAGACTTTAATTCTTCCCCTTCCTGGCTGGATTTCTCTTTGGTTGTAGCTTTCTTTGCTGCCTTTCTCCTTTTCTTAGGTAACTTTTTCTCCACTTGCTGCTCCCCATTTTGTTGTGATCCAGAGACCTTCTCTTCTTCAGTAACTTGAGGTGTAGAGATCACAGTTTCATTTGGGTAAATCTCATTTTTGACAGTGGCCGTTTGGATCTCAGCTATTTCTGTTATTGAAACTTCTTGTTCATAGTTTTCTTCAGAAACCTCTTGATTACTGAGGGTTTCCATCTCAGAAACAGCTTTCATTGTCACATTTTCCTCTTTTGATTTAGATTTTTTAGAGGGCTCTTTCTCCACTTGCCGATGGTCATTTTGTTGTGTTTCAGACACTATTACTTCTTCCGTCACCTGCCGTGGTTTAGTGGTCACTGTTTCGAAGGTCGAAGACGACCTTCAAATGTCTTTTTCGAAGGCGTCTTTGACTAGATCCAGGATTGAACCTTCTTGTTGTTCAGCCTTTTCTCCAGAAACCTTTTCATTATTAAGTGTTTCCAGCTCTGAGACAGTTTCCATTGCCACCTTTTTCGGTCACCAGTGAAGCATCTTGCTGTTCACTATATTTGTCAGAAACCTTCCCATGAAGGGGGGCATGTACCTCCAACCAGGCCTGAATTGGTATCATCTTCTTCTTCTTCGGCTTAGGTGGCCGTGTCTCCCCTTCCTTATCCACTGTATTGCTGGATTTCCAACACGTGACCCGGATGATGTTCGAAATTCAGATAGAGGTCCAGAAGGGGATTTCTCTGGTTCAAAAACAAAGCAAAATTGATCACAATGAGTATGATAATGCCCTAAATACGGTGTAACAGACGAGGCATCTCGAAAAGATACACGTATATTGTATCTTTTCAGTATAATAGAGATAATACAGATCATACGATCTGTATTATCTCGTTAAAAAAAGACTTCTCGTATAACTTTGAGAATTTACTCGGTGTCGAGGCGATCTGCATAACTATCTGGAGCTGCAGAGTTCATATTATGTCACGAGCCAGAAGAAAGTTTTCAAAAGCCTGGAGAATACAATCATTTAGTTTCAAGTTGGGTCTCAAGCATTTGGGATCAAAAGAAGCATTAAATGGATGTCGACTTGTTTCTACCAGGTGAGTAGTGAATTGTGCTATTTTAAAGTAATTAGTCTATGATAACGATGCTATCGCTAACAACGAACTAACCCATGTTATTTCTATGAGCTTAGATCTCCTGGTAAATAATTTATTTAGCTTCTGTAAAACCAAATTAATGCTGGAGTTGTACGTTCATGTTGAGTCGTTGTAGGACGCTGGATTCAGGTCCATTGTACCTGTACGTCAACCATTCAAACTTCTCCGTCTATTCTCAGCTTTGCACACCAATGTGCCCAGTGTAGACTACTTCTTCTAACCTACCAGGTTGAACAGGCAGCCTGTTTAATTTGAGCCGTTAAAATTGCCCCCGTATATTTCAAGTACGTTACCAATAACAACAATAACAGCAAACTGGTAGAAAAAAATAATCCTTAACTGATCAAACTTTGAGAAAATTGGGATTGCCATCGTAAATTAACGGCGAAAGCGACTTCAAACTCGGAAAGTGGCGGGCTCGCGACTGTAGCGTTCAGGTGAATATCCAGACTAATCCGGTTTAAACTGGTTTTTCTTTTCGTGTAGTTTTATTGTTGCACCACTGACCCCTTATGGCCAGGAGAGGTAGTGGTGTGCTGTGATAATTCACTTAACTAAATTTTGTTGTGTTCACACAAAACAAAATTATTTCGTTGGGTTAACATGTGACAAAATCATGTTATCTTTATTAGAAGTAATTAATTAAACACAACAAACACATGTTTTATGTGTTAACCTGAAATTAAATATTAACATAATGAACAACTGCCCTGTTTCACTTTTATGAGGGAGGGACCTAAAAAGGGCTCAATAACCTGATAAAAATTGAATGAATTCCAAGTGCTAAAAAAGAGCCCAGCCTGAATACCAGGAAAGAAGTATTATATGCTATGAAGCATTGCTTCATAGCATATAATTCTTGCTGCAAGTTCATATCCCTAACTCCAACATCAGGGATATTTCTTACCTGAGGTCATTACTCAGTGGTTCCAAATCTTCTTTTAAATTAAAGTTAGCATTTCATTTAAAAATCAAAGTCCCAGAGACTGAAGCAGGAGAAGAGAGGTGCAGAATCCAGGTTGCCTGAAGTATGTGTTGACTTCACACAATCAGTAATGATTTCGGTTGCTATTTTTGTGTTGGTTCTTTGTTTTTTAAGTAACACCAATTGCTAGGTAAACTCTTGGCTTTTGAGAAATAAGGTTGTTTTTTTTTCCAATTGAATTGGGGAAAAAAAAATCACACTAGATCCAATATTTAATCATCAGTCTTTATCCAAAAATCTCTCATCGCCATATGACATTTCTCCATATTCTATTTAATTCCAACAAAGATGCTTTGCTATTAATAGGCAAACAAGTTTTAGTAAAATCTTGTTCTTTTTCCTAAAATTGTATTTTTATGTTGATTTTATGTTAGAATTTAAAAAGAAAACAGCAGGTAAAAATTGTGATGAATTAAACATTAATGCAATTTTTAACGGTACATGAAGACAAACACACGTAATAATTGCATCATCCGCGTTGCCAGAGGCTGTTGATGAAACGGCTCCTCTTCGTGACTCTTGGCAAATAAAAAGGAGAACACACATTTGGCCCCTTTTGGCTGTGAAGACCCTGTCGGGGTAAACACATGCACGGTGGAAGGTTTGTGTCACCCTGAATACCTCTCTGTGCAAGAAGAGGTACTGCTGCCGGTGCTTTCTGCACAAACGCAGACACAAACACAAGTTTGTATTTCTGCCCATATTAGGACTTTGCATTGACTTTCATTCATTTTGGTTAGGGATGTCCCAATCTGATACTGATATCGGAAATCAGTACTGGACTAGCTATATCGGCCTGCAACTAAAGTCTCCGATAGAAGCACGTCGATAGAAGCAGTCCGCTCCAGCATTTAGTCTGTCTCAGCATTTTTAGTGAGCACTGCTTGTGTCCTGCATGCAGATCCACTGGTTAGTAATAAAAAAGTCAGTTTTTCTCATACCTATTGTTCCTGACTACTGTTCTCTGTTTGAATGATATCAGCTAACATTCCAAATTAAAGTATGCAAAATTTGATCTCCGATCGGATGAATATCAGTATCAGCCTCAAGGCGGCAGTATCGGTATCGGAAGTGAAAAGGTTCTATAGGGACACCCCTAATTTTAGTAACGGCATTTATTCCTAATCTTAACCATTACTAACCCAGACCTTAGCCAAAACCTAATTCACACCTTACCTCTAAACTTGACCCCTGACCCTAAACAAAGGGGTCCTCCCATATTAGGACTGAGATTTGGTTCCCATAAGGTCTATTGGTCTTCAGAAAGTTAGTAAATATGCCAGAAATAGTCCTAAGAAGAATAGCTAAACAAGTATCATTTTCATTAATTTCTATAGCCTGACACTAACCCTTAGGCCAATACCTAAACTTAACTCACACTTTATTCCTAATCCCAGCCCAAAACCAGCACCTCTTCTTTGGGGGCCCAGGCTTTGGACACCACGAGGAGCAGAGGGTCCTCACAATGTAGTATTTGTTGGGAAAAACAGGCCTGACAAGGTGAGAAATGCTAAAACACACAGACACACACACAGCTTTAAAAGTGTCACTCAGTTCCTTTGGTTTAAGATCAAAGTAAACACACGGTGCGTCTGTTTGTTTTGGTCGAGTGTGTGTGCGTGTGTGTGTGCGTGTGTGTGTGTGTGAGAGAGAAAGAAGCAGTTACCTCCAACACTGTCTGTCGTTAGCTGATGTTTGACTAAAAAGTGAGTAAAAGAGCTGAGACAGCTTTCCGATAGCTCTTTCTAGCAACTGCAGTTGCTCTCTCAGAAGATCTGTGAAGCTACCAGTGCAGACTGCGGTGGTGTTTTTGTGCACAGCTAAACCTCCACTCTGACTCTGCACTCAACAGGTAACCGTTTTGCTTTACAGCGCTTTGCAAATGTATTATTCACAACACTTGAACTCTTCCCACATTCAGTCACAATGCAGCCACAGACTCCAATGTGTTTTATTGGCCTCAGAGGTTTGTTAGAGAACATTAATGGACAAGCAGCATCAAGGAGTCCGTGAAACGAGAAAGTTTTGGAGAATTTTGAACTCAAGACTGTTCATCTTGAAATGAAAAGCATGGCACAATTAGAGACCTATCAGGATATGGCTATCCTCCTAAATTGATAGGCCAGGCGAGGAGAGCATTAATCAGAAAAGCAGTCATGAGGCCCATGGAAATACTTGCAGACCTGGAGAAATTCATCACTCAGGTGGGAGAATCTGTCGACAGGGCGAGTAGTACATGTGCACCGCATTAAAACAGGTCTGTATGGAAAATAAAGAATGAAATAAATACACCAGAATTTCCATTTGTAATTTACCACAAGGAGGGCAGGAAACTCAGCAAAATGTGGACGAGTAACAAAGTCAAATTCCAGAAGTTGTAAAAGGATTGCAGAGCATAAAAAGTGCTGTTCATAGATACTGCCCATCTAATTTGACAGAGCTTTAGCTAATTAGTAAGAAAGAATCTGCAAAATGTTTAATGTCTATCCAAACCTGGTACAGACAGAAAGTCATATTCAGTAAAATTAGAATATGGGTTCTGATGAGGCTGGTTTGTCAGATTAAAACAATCTTAAACATGCTTTAATTTAAGCCTAGATTTGTTTTATAAATGTTTTTTTTTTTATTTAGCCTTATGTAATGTTAGTCCTAAATGTCATGTTTTCATTATCTGTAAGCAGAAATGCATCCTAATGAACAGAAATAAAGGCTTGAATACAGCAGTCTGTGGACATAATGTGTTTAGCGAACTGAGTTACTAAAGTAAATAAACTTTTCAATAACTCTTTAATTTATTCAGTATCACTGTAGCCCAAACAACTTTCAGCTGTAGTTGCAGCTGCAGAGATGGTTCCTGCAATGTAAAAATTGGGATTGAATACAAAGAGACAGAAAACTTTTTAGACAAATAAAATACGTTGCAGTTTGTGGCATTGGTGTAACAACATGAGAAAAAGTTACTCCATACTTTTGGAAGCCACTGTATACAGAACCACTTATTGATCAAAACTAAAAATTTAATAAAAATCTCAAATCTCACCGTAGATTTTAAACGCACAATTATTGCTTTTTTTGTATTTAAAACTTCAATGCCATTCTAAAAAACATACAAACAAACAAACAAACAAACAAACAAAAAAAAACAAAACAATTTCTCTGTATCTGACTAATCTGTTGAAGTTAATGGGCGGAGTGACATCCTGGCCAAAGGAACCAGCTTTGCCCATCTGCTCATCTCTGAGCCCTCTCTTCCACCTCACCTCCCTTGTCTGACTCGTTTAGTTGTGATGGTGGAGCGGCCACAGCGCGTCAGTGGAGAGAGAGAACTCAGGGTGTGCTCTAAGGAACAGATTGGAAATTTCAGTGAGCTGGAAAATCAAGGGTAGCAAGGGCTTCTTCAGAAAGCTGAAAAGCGGTGAAACAGTGACCCCATGTGGCCAAATACAGAACAGCGTGATCTTTTGTCAACATCAGCTACAGCAGGGCTTTAAAATAACTCAAAACTTTGCAAGGTGGCTCCCTTTCAGTGAAGAATCTCTAACTTTTAGGCAGAATAACAAATAACATACAACACATGTTATATAGAAGTGAAAAATTTGTGATTTTTGTTTATATCACAATGAAATAAACATCAAGTGGAAAAAATAGTCTTTTCCTGTGCTTCTTTTAAAAATATTTGATAAAAGTTTTAAAATTAAAATGATTTCAAGAATAAAACGACGCTATTCTTTAAAAATATATTTTGTGACATATAATTAAAGAAAAGGCTATATTTGGTGAAGAATAAATTGAGATACCCCCACATCTATTTCCATTTTAAATAGCCATAAATAAGCACAGGTATGTCATATTACGAGGACATGATTAGGACATTGCTGCTCTGCATTTAATTTAAACTCGTTTTCTTTTCCTGAGAAGTTAAAGGCTAAAAATGAGTTTTTATGAGCAACCTTGGATTGATAATAGCTGGAACACTGATGAATATATTTGATGTTTGATAGCATTTGACAAAATGTTGCCATTTCATAATGTTTTATGGTGTAAAGCACTGAACTGAGATGTGCCATACAAGATAAAACCAATGTGCTGTCATAGAGTTTGAGGACTCACAAGATGTTTACATACTTTCAACACTTTAATGAAAAGAAAAGATGAATTTGTGTATAAAAACAAAACACTTTATTACAATTAGGCTGAAAAATCCAATGAAAACACAACTACTTTACAAGTACAAATGTTTTTTTTTGTTGATATTTACAGGGTCTTTTTTTCTCCTTTTGACATCAATTAAAAAAAAGTGAGAAAACACAAAAACACTAAAGTACATGTTTACAGTGTATTTACGGACATTAAAAAAAAAAAAAAAAAAAAAGATTAAAGGAGCGACCATCGTTGTCCACTCGATCATCTAGGTAACAACAGAGTCGGACGTACAGGGGGCTAATAATGAATACACTTACACGAATGTCGAGCTCATTCCGAAACGCAGAATGACTCGATCCTCAGCCCCAGCCATCTTGTTAGGTCATATATTCATTAAAAACAAGACGAGTGACGTTTGGTGGGCTGAGCTGCTGATCGTAGGGTTCATATTGACGTTGCTGATAAGAAATAATATACATTTAAATCAATATAAGAAGGGATCACTGTTTCGTCACTGATCTTCCAGTGCTGATCAGCTATTAGCTCTGAAACAAACCCTAAATATTGATTAGAATTAAACAGGAGGGTAAACAAAGGGTTTGTTGTGATTAAGACAGTGGCTGGTTTTCAGGACTTAGATGTGGGATCTGTAACAACCTCATGTGACCTGCAGAGGAAAAAAACAAAGAAAAAACAAACAAAAACACTTTGAGAAGTGGTTTCATTACACGGCATGCCTAGCTGCTCCCCCCACTGGGCTTGGCGGGCGTTTTGGCCCTCACGCCCCCTTGGCGAGCCTGATTCTTGGTGGGCTGCTGGGCCTGACCGGGCAGCTGTCCGGGGGACTCTGCGGCAGAGGGGGCAGCGGGCGGATGGGCGGGGCTGTGCGGATTCTGCGGCTGGATCTGCGTGGCGGGCGTCACCACCTGCTGTGGGATGATCTTCTGCTGAACCACCTGAACTGTGGGCGTCCCCGTGGGAATCATCTGAACTTGACCGGACGTCGACGTAGCAGCCTGGGCCAGAGTCACCGTCTGAGGCTGACCCTGGGGTCATGAGACAAACAAAAGAGCAGCCATGGTGATGTGGTTTGTAGTGGAATTCAGATTTATGGGCCGGGTTGGCCCAGAATTATTTTCTTGATGGTCGGGTCGGGCTCTGGCTTCTGTGCTGCATTTCATAAGCCTGCAATACACACAGCATAGAGAAATCCAAACGAGAACGCACAACATAAAGTTGTGTTCATCGACTTATAGTCTACATGGAGGAGCAGATAGCTGAACCTGTTGAGGAAATAAAAGAGTAAATAAAACGTGCGCACTGCTCCGATCCTTTCACTCACACATCCCAGACGATTTGCACTTGACTCACCCTGTGGTTACAAGCGACACAGTGGAGCTGGAAGAGTTTATTTCTATTTTATTTTTTTAACCTTCTACTAGGATAAAAATCCATTAAGACTAAAAAGCTCTTTTCAAAGGAGTCCTGGACAAGAGGCAGCAACAAATACAAACGTTAAACAAAAGCTAAAAATGGGAGAACTTACCCCATTTACACAATTGAAAGCAGTAAAATCGTGACTAAAATATGTCAGGTAAACTACGGGCTCAGGCCAATAATTAAAGTTAATTAGTCGGGTCAGCGCCTAAGGGCTGGATTGGATTCTTTAGGTTGGACCTACACTCTAGTCTGTACGACGCTGCTATTAACAGAACACTTCAAGGTTTGGGGAGAGTTAGCAGCTTTAACAGTCAGTACACCCTCACCTGCTGGGGAGACGACACAATCTGCTGAATGTTGGCCACAGCCGGTTGCTGCTGCACTATCTGTGGGAGCTTAGCCACCTATAATAAAAAACAAACTCTTACATCAGCACACACACCGACTGCATACCTGCAAACCTTGTGTTCTGTGTTTAATCATCACACAGCACCACTCTACCTGGATTTGTTGGGCTCCAGCTGGTTTTTGGGTCTGGGCGATGGATGTAGTAGTGAAGAACTGGGTTTTGATTCCAGGCTGGAGTTGCTGCGTTGTTGCGTAGGTCACCTTCTGTTGCTGCTGCGCCGACTGGGCCGCCTGCATCGTTACCTGCTGGGTACCGATCTACCAAAAAAAAAAAAAAAAAAAAGTTACAGTCAATAAAATACACAGAGTTTATGTTAAATTAACTATTCTAGATGAAGATTTGTCTTACGCATCACACTTCTGAATAATCTGACTTGATGAAATAAACAAGACCCTGACAGCGCTGATGACTGAGAATCCGCTAGTTTGTAGTTGTGGTGTGTTTACCTTCTGCTGAACAGCGGCCTGTCCTTGCTGAGGCTGCCCTGCTTTCTGCTGAGCTGCAGCCTGAATGGCTGCTGGATGCTGCTGTTTCTTCATCGGAATCAGCTGCTGGACTTGCATCTGGGGGAAGGTGGTCGTCAGCACTGGGGCCCCTAAGACAAGATAAAAAATAAAAAAATAAAAAACACACACACACACACACACACACACAAAAACAAAAGGAATTGATCGTAACAAATCATAGCAGCATATTTAAATTGAGAGTAAAAAGTGCTTTCCTGGGGAGAGAGAAAAAAATGAAGCATTGAAACTCACCAGTTTTCTGTGATTGGTTAATAGCCACACTTAGTCCTGACATGGTCGTCACTGCAGAGACTACCGCTGGCACAGACACCACCGGAGGCTTGGTGAGGGCCACCTGAGCCGTCTGTCCTACCTGGGCCTGAATCTGCCCCTGAGGGACTCGAGTCTGCACAGGCACAACGGATATAGATGTAAAATGTCACCATTACTCTACCAGCTTGGCGTTTTCATTTGAGGAGATAACATTCCTCAAACGAGTACGGATTGTGTGAAGTTTGTTTTGTTTTTTTTTGGGTTTTTTTTGTAAGTGAGATGCTGCATAAGAACGTGTTTGGATTAATTATCTGGATGTAAGTACTCAGGCAGAAACTAAAGAACATGCAGTTCTTCTCTCTGATATTTGTTGCAGCCACTAAAACTTTTTGGCGTAAACATCCAGCACTAACTGAATTATGAACTGTTTATTTTTGTTGTGATATAGGCAAAGGGAAAGTAAAATACGACAATGCAAAATACATTTTTCTGTACGCCCCCCAGGTTGTGCTGTTTTCAGTATTTGAAAGTAATTTCCAAGAGCCAACAACAAACCAGAGGAATTTAATGACTGTACAGAAACACACTGCTAAGCAGCAAAGTGACAACGGAGCAGAAATATTTCAAAGTTCCCCTGATGCATATCTGTTCCTTATATGCCCAAAATACTGGATATATCAAAAATAAACACTGTGATGACGGCTGATCTCCGTTGTGTTCTCAAGCGGTTTTATTCTATCTTTCTCTCTCTCTTTTTTTTTTAAGTAATCTTACCAGTCTGGTCACTTGCAGTGCGTTTGCAGGGAGAACGGCTCCGGGTCTGGCTGCAGTCACGGTAGCTAGCTGAGGACTGGCTTGGCCAGCCTGAGCGGGCTGCACCTGGCTGGGCTGCTGGGCCACGGCAGCTTGCGCACCCTGCGTCACCGCCACCACCTGCTGCCCTGCCCCCTTATGCTTCTGCATTTTTAATAACTCCTGTAAGCACAAACAGAAACAGACTGAGGAAAGGTAAAGGATGCATTCGTTTTATTTTAC